TATAAAATGTATTACACTGAGTATTTCTAATCAGCTTTCTGTACAGGATTGTATTCGTTATTGATTGTGCTAATTTTAGATTTAATCTATATTGTTACATAATTTTGATCAGAAAATCTTATTTATTTTATACTGTTATAACTTATACTGGTTATAGTATTTTTTCAGATTATTGTATGTGCTGTTGTGTACCTGTGTTTTATGTAATGCTAATTTCGAGAAAGAATTAAATATACATCTGTAATTGTATTCATAAAACATGTTTACAGTTTTTTAACTTTGTACATGAATAGAGGTATTTCATTAGGTTCTGTGTTAGTGAGTGTATGTATTTGTGACCCAGATCTTTTTGAGTGGAGTGGAGGCCTATGTAAATAAAATCCTGCTGATATGTTTTTTTGTTGTTTTTTAACAGAGAAACTTAAGAATTATTTTAAATAAATGAGACTCTTCAGTTATAGAAAGGGGTTTATATTTTGTAAGTAAGCCTTGTAAAAAATTCATTTTGTCACAAGTAAAACCTTATTAAAATAAATACTTAAAAAAAAGAAAACAATTATGCTTAATATTTAAAAAGTCAAGACATTAAGGACATAAAAAGCAGAGACCAGTGTTGTAATCTTAAATATAAATAAACAGTTTTATTAACCATTAATTTATTAATTGAATATTTTTGAATGTTGCAGAATAAAATGAGTTATTTGTACTATAATGTAGCAATACTGTAATGTCTGAAGAAAACTCAGAAGATGAGTGTTCACAATCAAGTGTATCAAAACACGAAGGTAAGGAACTTGTAGCTACAACTGAATCTTTATGTACAACAGTATCAGAAAGCCATCAGATTCATTTATAGCTTTGATGATTTGATGCCATAAAGTGTAAAAAGAAACTAACAAAATTATTTTCTAGAATATTCTTTCTTTATAAATACTTTCCATTTATTTAATATATATATATCATCTTGTGTATGCCATAGATAATGCATAAAATAAATGAAGCATGGTCTCAGAAGTGAAACATGTTAAATTGTATGTAAAGTTAACCATATAAATAGTCACAATGAGTCATTTGAACTCATCCTATATGCATATTTGTTTTATAATCTTTTCGACACATAATCTGAGGGTCGTGGGTTTAAATCCCCATCTCACCAAACATGCTTGTCCTTTCATCTGTGGGGACATTATAATGTGATGGTCAATCCCACTTTTCATTGGTAAAGAGTAGCCCAAGAGTTGGCAGTGGGTGGTGTTGATTATCTGTCTTTCCTCTAGTTTTTCACTGCCAAATTAGAGACGGCTAATGCAGATAGTCCTTGTGTAGCTTTGCACGAATTTCAATACAAACCAAACCTTTTCCATCAATACAATATTTCGTGGTGTCAATCCTAATATAGTAACTATTTTTGTTTTAATCGTAGTCTTAGTGTTGTAGTGTTATTATAGTTTTTATTTAGTTTGTCTTGGTATAGTCAGTGAAAATGGTTAAAATATTTAGTTAACTCCTAAGTCATTAAATTAGTCAGTCATTTACTCTTTGACCAATAATTTTTTTCTTTTAGTGCTTTTATTGTAGTATGTCATTGTACTGAAATCTATTTTGAAAGTTTCATTATCTGTATTAATATTATTTATGAAATATATATGAAATTGGCAATCTTGTGGAATACTGTGGTGCATTTCATTTTCATTAGCATTTTTGTTAAAAAACTAATTTTGTCTAGTCTTGGTCAAGTTAGGTTATGTTGTGGGGTCATTCTGGAAGGTTTGTGTTCACTCATAGTCATTGTTGATCCTTGCTGGCAGGAATTTTTGACAGAACAAAATTAACACTTCCTAGCACACTTGTAACTTATTATTATGCCAACCATTTGGAGATAAAGAACTGTTGTTACAATGATTCAGTGAAATAGCAGAGTTTGCTCCAGAACTGTTGTTACAATGATTCAGTGAAATAGCAGAGTTTGCTCTAGAACTGTTGTTACAATGATTCAGTGAAATAGCAGAGTTTGCTCTAGAACTGTTGTTACAA